ACAAGGCCTCGTTGCATATTGGATGTGTATCGAAGACCAAAGCCAAATACAAAACCAAATCACCTATAGCACACACACACACGTATACACACAATAATATAATATATAGCGGATGGCTCACGGTGATTTCCCGTTTTATCGTATAAAACTGACACAGAAGAACGCGTTGAACCACGCTGTATAATATGCAAATGTTATTCAGATAATAAACTGACCATGTGGCTTTATAATATCATATAATAAACTATATAGAATACAAGGAAAACTGTGCCGACCGGAACTATTTTTTAGAGCACACGCGTGTGGGCGGAGACAATAATGTAAGCCTTTGTATTATGCTATATACATAAAGTATATTATACGTGCATCGGTGGCCGTGAACGACAACAATAAAACTGTTTTCAAATGAAAATATGTCCACTTTAAATTATGAGGTAGAAACAAGTACGAGGGGTTACCGTCTTTCGTTTGAACCGTAACAGAAAATTTGATCTTTTATTCTCATCAAAATTGGAATATCTATATCATATAGATAATTTACGATGAATTTCGTTTTTAATATTCAAGGCCTTTCCAGTCATAAAGAATGATTTGAATGTCTTAAATATAAGAATAATATTAAATTTTTGGTAGTTTTTTTGGAAATGAAAGAGAAATGAGAATATTATCGAACGTTACATTTTGGAGCATTTCTTTAAAAATAATTGATCTAAAATATGTACGAGATCTGTTTAAAAACAACATTATATTTCACATTATTTTAAGATTATCTATCTATAAAAATTAATATTTTAGGAGTAACCGAAAAAAATTTGTTTTAAACTTATTAGCATTTACTTCAATATACTTTTGATTTTTGTAGGTGGTGTTGTGATTCAACACTACAATCACTTCTTGGACAAACCATCTAATGCCAATTGGCATAAATAAAAATATTACACGATAATTGTACTCAAGGTGGCTTTTTACCCAAAATAATAAATACCCAACTGTCTACACATTTTGTAATTTTGTACTTATTATAATTGAGTAGGCAAAATACAGTATGAACATTTTAATGTGTTCATAACTTCATGTAACAAAAATATATTTTTTATGATTTGTAGGCATACCGTTTATCACTTATTAACTTCACACTCCACAGCTGTACTTCATGTAATTCGTGTCCTACTTACCTAATATCAGTTACCAATAAATTGCCATATTATTCTTTATCGTATTTACAGAATATATTCTTAGCATGTATTAGTTATAAACTTTAAAGTGTTGCGAGACTTTAAAACATAAGTATAGTCTTTTCTTTTCAAAAATGTATCAATACTCAATAGACTTTACATAGTAGTCAGTGGTACCCCTTCCTACAAGACCGATTGACTGGCTAAACACTGTAGTGTAAGCTGAACTATCATTGTACTTTGATAATCGTTTTCCGGTTGCAACGATTAAAATAAAATAAATAGTCGACATAGTATTTGACATGTAGGTAATAGTATATTTAATTTTAATAGATTATTAAAATTATTACTATTTGTTTAACTGCCTTTGGGTTACACATAAATAGTAAATACCCATTTACATAAAAATGTGCTCACGAGGTAATCAAGACTATCAACTATATTTTGTGAACATTTATTTTACGCCAGAGGTGAAATTATAAACAAATTAAGGTCTTAGCGCTATTTTTAACAAAACTGCTATAATTTTTTATGAATATCCCTTGTAAACAAAATCTGTGGTTGATATATTATTGAATATTATAACGGAACATTCTAATATATTTCATGATAATATTCCTATTTTATTTAGAATATTTAAAGATTAATGGTTTGATAATCCCATTTATACAGACTCAAAATAATAGATAATAATCAACTAACATGTACCATGTTAATATTCGATACAAAAAAAAAAAAAAAAAAAATGCAAGTTTTATGTTATATTAAATAAATATTATATGTTCTTAGTATGAAAGTTGAACTACTGTTAGTAGTTACTTGTAAGTTGTATTATGCAATGCAATAGAATAAAATAATATAAGACATGAGAGTATAGGTACTTACTTGCAAATTTCGATGATTGTCTTGTACAGTGTACACGTGTATGGTCTTCAAATATGCATACAATAACTGTGGTTAAAAAATGTCATCCGGGAATAGAATTTAAGTTTAAATCTGAATACTTACTTTTATCAATTATGACTATCATGCCAATATTGTATAAACAGTAATAATAATGATGATATAACTATTTATTAGGTAATATAATATAATTGTTTTTTTTTTTATGTATACATATATATACGGAAATTTGTTTCCATAGTAAATTTTTCTCATCTCACTTTCTCGAGTACTAAGTGAAGCCACTTTTTTTTCGTCGTTGTTCCTACTTCAAGATATGTCTATATAGTAGTTTCTAGTGTTTTTACTACGTGTAATAAATCAAAAAGTTAACCAGTACCAAGTGGAATGCTCTACAATGAAATGTAGATTTATATATTTCTAATCTCTACATCATAATAATTGCAGCACAATTGGTTGGGTTGTGTTATACCAAGTAGTTGACCGATCTCGTAATTGCTTACAATAGTCTGGGTCATTGCAGTATAATATAGAGCATTTTATGTAAGTACTTTAAACGGTACCTAACGCCAATGTTTAATCAATTTCGATAGTATAATATGTATATAATATTTAACGTGTGCATGTCGTTTTACGCTATTTAAAACGAAAATAACAAAAAACATATTGTTCATAAATGATCCTAAACATCGCCATTTGATGAATATTTTAAATATAAATAAATAATTATCATGGGTACTATGCTATTAAATGCCCATTGTCCAATATAGTCACAAATAAGTTCATTTTGAAAGGAGGGAGAAGATAGGTTATTTTAATGAAATCCAAGAAATATATTTCTTATGGCATTTATTACTTTTACGTAATCATCTGTTTAGTTTTTGGAACCTTTTATCTTCTCCTAATCCTCTTTTATCTATATTCATGATATCAAGTGTTTAACATACGTACTACATTTTGGAACGACTTGCAATCGTTTTTTTAAACATTAAAATGCAATAAACATGAAATCTACAGAACTAATTAACTACAATTATTGTATTACCTCTACGTTTTCGAACGTTTGTCCGACAAATAATTTTGAAAAATGACTGCTATAAGTGGAAGTGCATACATCGATGATGGCCACTTTAATAATTTATCATATATCTGATAAAAAGCTGCAAATGCGCAATGGACATGCATTTTCGAGGTCGTTTATTAAATTACACACACGTTCCCCTCTTTGTTAGATGGAATGTATATAATATAATAGATTATAATATGGTGACTAATATAAATATTGTTCCTTCCGGGGAAATTTCTCAATTCTACATCAAATAATAAATGTAATGATGTCGTTTGTTTTATATATACAATTTTTTTTTCGTTTAATAATGAATATTATTAACTCGGAAAAATGGTGAATAAAATTTTACTTATTTTAATGTTCAAACGAAAATGATTAAATGAAAACGACCAATGAGAACCTATAAACATTTATAAATTTGTTTGATAATAATATAAATTAATAACAAATATCTAACAGTTAACTAAATAATATTGATTTCATACGAAATAAAACGTCTAAAATATTTAAATACTAATATTTATAATCAGTGATACAATTTATCAAAATGATAGATATGTAATTTTTATTTGATTACAACACGATGAAATTTCAGTTACATACTAATGTCTCAAAAAGTTATATTTTGCTAGTGATAAATTTAACAGGTGACTTACATTTCGTTTTGGGGATGCAATTCGACCATATTATTCTTCTTACCTACTATAATAGTCGTGACCAAATTGCGTCCATAGATATAATTAATATATGTGTTACGGCAACTTTGTTCGTATTATGATGCCCAAATAAACATCAATTTATAAACGTTTTAAATTAATTTCAAATTATATGTGTTAATTAATAGTATAAATATTAAATACACCCAAGAGAAACAAATAAAATAAAAAGTTGTAAGAAGTTCAAAGAAAAAACAAATTCCGCTTTTATATAATATTTAAAAAACATTTCACTAAAATTTCAATGAACAATATTTTAATTTATATAATTGTGAATAATTTTATTTATTTTTTTTTATGATGATCTGTAATGCTTAATTTATGCTATTAAAAACTGGCAAGCAACTAGGTTGTCTAAAAAAATTTTCTTCAATACAAATAGCGTATGACCTTTTTTGAACCTTTTTTTGGAGAGATACAACCCAGATACTGATATAATAATCTCGGAAGCAAGTAGTATGTACCGAATATTTCTGCAGAACTGGCAAACAATGTAGTGAAAACGGAAGTCTTTGTACCCACCTTAGATTTGCTGTCTTCTATTGCAAAAATAATTATTGTGGTCGCAGATCAATGACTGTTGAATTAACGGTTGTTCACAAACCACAACATTCACTTGTTGTAGTAGTAGTTAACTTTAATAGCAAACTACTGACAATGTATGACCAAAGCCATCGCCGTGGAAATAATATTATAATCCAAATAGGTTCACCCGATTACGGTCGTTTAAGTTAAAATTTTTTTTCATGCCTACTCGTACAAAATTACATAACGTACCGACGGTATTCAAAAGGACGCGACTGGTTAGGTTAGAAAACGGTTGATTTATGAATGTTTTCACTCTATACAACAATTACATACAAGCTTAAAATAATAGACAAAAAAAATAAAATTAATATTATTAAACGGATTTAGTTTATTAGGTTTCAAATACAAATATATATATATCAAAAATATGGTCTACACAATTTGATAGTTTATATGATATCTTTACAGTAAGTCATTATGATCCCTGCAAACGATTACAAATATAAATAATAGAAGAAAAAAAATCACCAGTCATATTATATACTTATAAAATGTCTTTTTCTTAAATTTTTTATTGTCCTGAATAAAACAGTAACTAATAGTCTTATATTGGCAGTCAATTTGGACTTAATTGACAGCAGTTGTGTGCGTGTTTTTTTTTTTTTTTATACACTCAGGAGTGTGTATATACCAAGTGGTCATCGTACAGTTAAATATCAATATGGAATGTTGAATAATTAATTTTGAGCGTACATGATAATTCGTCGAGATATGCACATCAATAATATTACTATATATTATATATATAGTACAAAAAGGCACTTATGGAATTTCATTGTTAACATACATATTTAAATAATATATAGCTAATAATAATAATAATAATATAAATGTATTATATTATAAGAACTTAAAAACTAGACAAAAAAAAAAAAAAAAAAAGTCAGTATTAAAACTAAATCTAAAATAATCATTATCATAGCTAATTAGCATCACATATATGTTTCATGATTATCTTTATATAATTCATAAATTACATTCACGAGGCCCAATTTTTTTTTTACGTATTTACACATTTAGTAAGAAAGAATAAGACAATTTTGTACAATGTTTGTGCGAAATTCGTTAATTTTATTTATTTTGTTGTATATATAGATTAAAACATGAAGGTTTCATTACCCGAATATGTTTGATTGTGGAATGTTAATGAGTAATATTAGTTAAAATTAATATAAATATATAAAACGCATGAACACATAGTTTGCTCAAAATGGAAGACTCGAATGTTTCGATTATTGCAAAATACATTAGTAGTTGAGTAGTATAACTGTATAACTAGTAACACTTATATGAAACTTTATGAAGTAGCACTGTAATGGGTAAAGACAATGATGAATCTTAAAATAATTTATATTTAGTTGAGTATATATATATAAATTATACCTAATAGTAAACAGTTAAAGTTTTAATTAATCTGCAAAGATGAATTTTTAATATACAAGAAAACATTTTTAATGGCCAATAGTATTCAGAAGAATTAGGTAACATGAAACCATAAGTTGTCAATGCATAAAATATTATGTTATCGTTAGATGTCCTAAAGAATGCAACTAAATATCATATTTGCATCACATGCCTATATAGTCTATGTTACCATAGATATAGTTATATTGAATGTTATGTAGAAGAAAATGAGACCAACAATAATTAATCTTGTTATAAAACTAAGTATATAAATAGAAAAAATTGTAAAAATTATAGTTCAAAATTGTCAATCATATTTTAAAAACCGAGAAGGTTATTCATGAACACATTTTTAACTGCACAACCCCTGTGTTTTCCGATAAAAGCGATCGGAAATTAATTTTAAAAACATTATGAATAGATAGCGCCATGCTTCTATGGGGTGATAAAAATTATATTGAAAAAAATAAAACAAATTGTCTAAAATTATTGCTTATCCATTCTTTGATTAACTTAAACTAACAATTTTTTATTTAATTTAGTATTTAAATACATATTTGAAGTTGAATCAAGTCATATTTATACACTCTGCTTACCGTCCAACCGCTTGGCTAAGTCTGATACAAGCTCCTTGAAAATTAAGGGATCAATGTTCTTGCCTAACTGGTACAATACAAACCAATCACCGATCTGACATTTTTTGGTAATGGTTTCAACTTCGTCCTGAGGAGCCAAACGAGATCTTGCTCTCAACAACAACAAACGGAATTTGGGCATCACTACAACAGCCGTACGGTATACCAAATTGAGGCCACTGAGTATGGCAACAAACAAGAACCAGAACCACAGGAACACATAGATTTTTTCGTTCACAATGTTGAGCGGCAACACACACAGACCATCTAACTTCTGGATGGATCCTGAAGGACCATATTTGTGGAATGTACACTTTGTAACTTTTGGGAACACTCGAGCCATGGGATCTTCTCGCTCTTCGGGCTCCATTTCAGTGAACCGCAGCACGTCTGAACCATATGTACTGAACTCACCTTCTAGGAAGTAGTCCATGAAGAATATCTGGGCGATGACATTGACAAAGTTGAGAAACTCGCATAGGAAGAACCGTATGGCGTAGAAGTTCTGTGTGTGAAGGTTAGTAGCAAAGTAATCGATCAGTAGCTTCTTGCGGTCGGCCTTGCAGTCCTCGTTGATGATTGGACAGTTGAGATCGAGCACAAGCATTTTGATGCGGCCGCCTTCCCACGTCTTCCACATATACCTGGGCAGGTAGAAGAACATAGCCTGGAAAAAGAGTACGAAGCACACCCACTGGTAGTACTTGTGGTACTTGACTTCGTCTTCTCCGTCCACGTGGGACGCGACGCCCGGCTGGACGACGTCTTTACCGACGCGGCCACTGATACGGTTGGGTATTGTGAACGTCGAGTATATCCAACAATACGTGTCCATGATGTTGAGCGGCACATCGTCGACAATGCAATCGATCGGGTCACCGATGTACTGGCGGGACGTGACGAGCAACGAGAACGCTACTAGGATGATGACAGTGGCTTTGTAGTGCAACCGGAATATGTTGTTGTCGATGCATACGCTGTCGATTTTCAGCAGCCCCTTGACGGAGCCGAACACGTCGAACATGACGGCGGCGGGCTTAAGTGCGGGTAGTACTCACTAGACGGGAAACACACCGCCGGAAATCGGAAACTCGTCTTCGACGGCAGCGGCGGCGGCAGTCGTCGGGACGAAGAATTAAGGAGAAAACGTTTTCAACCCGGACTCACGTGTGTGACCGGGAACGCGTCATTTGGAGAGGGACGCTACGGAATCGGCCGCGATGTGTGTGCACGTCGATTGTCGGTGCGCGCGGGCGAGCACAAACGCATACGATAATACTATTTGAATCACTACCGAAAGAGGGCGAAAAGAAAACTCGATAAACCAAACGCGGTCACATGGATACAAAAACAAACGTCGGGCGAGCTCGACCGTTTCTCGTGGAATGAATTGCGGCGGCGGGCGGCGGTCTGCGCGTACTGCGCGCGGTGGGGCGACGGCTGTTTGTGCGTGCGCATGCGCGTGCGCGTGAACGTCGACGGCGCGGCGGCGGTGTGTTGCGTTTACGTTGGTGCGTGTGTGCAACCGTGACGACGTACTCGGTAGGTAGGACGATAGGGGAGAGGAGGGCGTCGGGTCAATGGAGTCGGATGGCGCATGCGCGAAACGCCGCTTCGACGGGCCTGCCCGCCGCCGGCTGGTCGCTACTACCCGTACGCGAACGGGTCTCTCCGGCCGCCACTCTCTTTTGTTAACGACGCGTCGTTGTCGCCCGACGACAATACACCGAAGGGAAAAACCGGTTGTGCGGTGGTGCGCTCGGCTCTCTCGATCGTTGTTCCCGTGGCGGCGGCGGCGGCGGGGACGGGCGACCCGATCGCCGCCGAACCGGCACAACATTCCTCGCCCGGCGTGTCGTCTCCGCATCGCCGCCGACCGATTCCGACGACGGCACCGCGGCAGACGGCCGGCCGGCCACCGGTTCGCGAGCGCTAGCGGTCGAGGCGGCGGAACGGCTTCTTCGCTACCCGGCCGCGCCAGGGGTTCCCAACCTGTTCGAGATTCTCTCGTACGAGAAGTAAGTAGGTAGGTACGTTTCGCGTCGACGCCCGTTTCTCCGAGAACATACCGA